GGTGTTGTGAGGGGTAAGGCTGTATGTGTAGGGGGCAATAGGGTATGTTGGGGGATGTGTGTATATGTGGCAGGGTTGTGGGACCAGGGTGTGGGTGTATGACATTTGTGGGGTGTGAAGGAGTGTGGTGGGTGTGGGGACCTCCCTCACTGTGCCCCCATGGCACGCAGCCCCTACAGGTGGTGGTGGCAGCAACAGCAGCAGCAAGCAGGGGTACTCATGCTTGGTGCAGGCACTGGTGCCCAGCAGCGTGTATCTTTGGCACATTCTGGAGGGCACCACATACCTCCAAGATAGTCTCCCTGGTAGTCACCTGGCCCTTGCAGAAGAGGTGGCCCACATAGCAGAGGTTGACAGGCACAGCCAGCTTCAGTGGGCCGGTGATGAACCAGGTGTCCAGGGGGACGAGGCAGCTGCATCTTTGTGTCCTGCCATTCCAGATGTGTACAGAGCTGCTCCAGGAGATCCAGAAAGGTGGCCTGGATCATATGGAGTGCCTCCAGCCACTGCTTGTCATCTCAGGTATGCTGGATGAAGCGCAGCCACAAGTCCTGGCTGGTCTAGGAAGCCCTGAGGTGGTGGGGCTGGAGGCCCAGGAGGGTGAGGGTGGCCCCAGCGGTGGTGTCCTAGAGTCCATAGTCAGTGTCTCTGCCACGGTCTGGCCAGCAGGGCCAGTGTGGTGGCCAGCAGAAGCCCAGGGCACTGGGCATTGCTGCGAGGGGCAGCGGCTGGAGCAGCCATGGCCCAGGGAGGCAGAGGCTGCAGCATGAGAGCTGCCACATTTTGCCCCTATGCTTTGCATGCTGCTCCTGGCCAAAAACACTGCTAGCCAAGGAGAAGAGAATGGGGCTGCTTTTAAAGATGGCCTCCAACCACGAACAGCTGAGTCTGGAGCCTCCAGTTCCCCCTTGTGGTGGTGGGGGCCTGTTGCAGGAAGCGGAGTCAGTTTGCTGCTAGGAGCAGCAAATCTGCTCCCACGTCTCTGCATGTGTAGACGCCTACCCGGGAGCCTTTACTTGTCAGTAGTTTACTTGCAAGTAAACTGGTCCTGTATCAAATGTACATGTAGGCACACCTGCTGAGTAGTACTTTGCTAGTCAAGGGCCAGGTCATACAAACAAAGTGGAGTTTACTAAAGCAGTGATTCTCAGCCAGGGTGCCATAACACCATGGGGCCTTTTGAGAGCATTTCAAGGGTGCCATAGTGTGCTATACAATGTTAGCATTATTAGGTGTGCAAACATGATAAATTCAGAGTTTTCAAGTAGGAATCCATTGTGTTAAAAACATTCTGACCTGCTGGGATCTTTCTGAGTTTTTTGCAACAGAAGAATTCCTCTGTTTTTCTGTAGTCAAAAAAAAAAAAAAAGAAGAAGAAAGTGAAAACTAAGAACTGAAGTTTTCTGAATGGTGCCTTGAATCTACCAAAGGGTGCCTTTGGTCTATCAAGGAGTGTCTCAGGTCTGAGAAAGTAAAGAATCATTGCAATAAAGATAGTCAGACTTTATGCTGATAGTATAAGACTTAACTACACTGTATATGCTGGCAGAATCAGACCCTAAGGTATCTGTATGTGAATATTAGTTATTGTGCATTCATCATCTTAAGTCTATTCATAGCATGTATTCCTGGGTATAATTATGTTAATCTCATAACAGTTTCCTACAACAGGCTGATAATATTAATGCCTCATAATGGCTGTAAAGGGCTCATCATGAGGCATCTTATTGCAAATCTGTATTGCAGCTTCAAAAGGAACTACTATAGTCTACCCTAAAAAGTGCATTATAAAATAAACAGAAATTCATTAAAAGCAACATGTATTGTAAGTGTATTGCATATGCCTTAGACTTGTGCAGCAGGGTTGATTGTGTAGTTTAGGAAGAGGTTAGGAAAAGGCTTGTATGGGATGGTTTGGAGAGAGATGGTCTGGAACAGCCTGCCACCGGAGGTGGTTCAAGCGCCTTCATTGAACACCTTCAAGATGAAACTGGATGCTTATCTTGCTGGGATCCTATGACCCCAGCTGACTTCCTGCCCTTTGGGCGGGGGGCTGGACTCAATGATCTTCCGAGGTCCCTTCCAGCCCTGATGTCAATGAAAATCAATTAAATCAATGAGATGATCCTACCTCAGGCACGGGGTTGGACTAGCTGACCTGCAGAGGTCGCTTCCAGGCTTACTTTTTATGATTCTGTGATAACAGAAATTGGCAATACTTGCCATCTGTATTTTCTGGTGCACTTAGAATGAATTCATTTGTTGTACATTCCCAACATGCACTCCTACAGGCTTCTGATGAACAACTGCATTCTACTGGACTGCTCAGATAAGAGAAGCTAGCTAGCAGTGATAAGGAGTCGATTAGCATGCTTTTTTCAATGCAGTGCTGGGAAGAAGGAACCATCTACTTAAAGTCCCCAGTTCTACTGTCCCTTTATCCATTCTTCTTGTGTCCTAGAAAGGTGACTTCAGATTTGCTACACTAAACAGGAATTTTCTTTGCTATCTCACCATTATTCAGGGAACAGAGCATGAAATCCTCGTGCTCATCATCCTCCACAGGGATATTTTGATGGTGAAATTCAGAGGGAGACAGTGGTTTGAAAGACCTGAGTGATTCTGGCTGATTGTCAGTGAAGTATAGGGCATTCAGAGAATTTTCTAGAGTGTCCAATGCCCAATGTAAAATAAATCAACTAGGGAGGGTCACTAGAAGTGACTTGGAAACAAATCACAGATCCTGTAATGACCACATTATATTGAGACAAAATGGGGAATCTTTTTCAAGTGTAGCTAGTCTGACAGAAAATTCATAAAAGAATACCACAGAGAATAATTTTATACAAGGAAGGTATCTTTGAAATCCCTTCTTAATAATCTGTTTTACACAATGCCTGCAAGATGTTTGACTGGAGGAAAGCCACTTGATACTTGAAAGCTTTTCCAACAGCTCTCCCAACTTACAGCTGGTACAATAAAAGATATCAGAAAAGAATCCTTGCCTCATACACTTCTTGGACCATCACAGCTACAATAAAATTCCAGTCCTCTTATAAGAAGTTTCCAATTTATGACTAAGTTGAAAGCCGTTTAAGAACAGTTAAAATTGAACTGCAAATGTAAGACAGAGTTTACAATGTAATCATTTTCCCGTCTCTCATTCTGTCTATTGCTTATCTTAGATTCCAAATTCTCCATGACAGGGAACACGTCATCCTTTGTGTTTATATATTGCCAAGTAAAGATTTTACCCCAAGTCTTTGATCAAAAGTAACACTCTGATTACATATCAGGCCTGTGTAAATAGGGAAGCATTTGATTTGGATTCGGATTCAGCTGATTCAGAGGGCAGTGATTCAACTCGGAGATTTAGATCACTGTCCAGAATCAATTCAGGCAAATCAGCTTTGGAAAGTTCGACGCTAATTTGGAGAGATTCAGTGATTCAGACTGGCCGGGGAGAGGCAGGCACAGCCAGGTGGCTACAGGTTCTCCCATGACTCCTCCGGCTCTACTTGCCTCTTCCCGGGCAGGGGGAGCAGCGGGAGAAGACCCCATGGCTGTCCTGCCTGGCCCCATCCCCCACCTACCCCAGCCTAGTTCTGGTACTTGGGGCCTCTGGGCACTCATGGAAAAGCCTCCTGTGTAGCAGGACAGTGGTGGGCAGCGGGGATTGCCCCCCCTCCCCCGCCTGACAGTTGCCCCATGGCGCAGGTGCAGTGCGATTCAGCAGGTGCTGTGCACTGCCTGGGAGCTGGGGCTGCTAGGGCTGGGCGATGCTGGGCTCTAGCTGACATGTGAAGCCGTCCCAGCTCCTAGACAGCACGTGGTGACTTGCCAAGCCATGCTGCACCTGCTGCGCAAGTACCAGGCAGGGGAGCGATCCCTGCTGCCCCCCACTGCCCCACGATGCATGGCGGGGGCTCTGCCATGAGCCCTCAGAGGCCCTGAAGGCCACTGCCAGAGCTGATGAGTGTGGGGCTTTTTTGTTTTTTTTAAAGTGCTGGGAGGATGGGCTGGGTGTGGGATGGGGCTGGGCAGGGCAACCATGGGAGCTTCTCCTGCATCTCCTCCAGCTGTGCCTGCCTCTGCCCTAGTGTGGGGAGCCACGTGGCCTGTGCCCTGCTGCCGCTTGCCCAGCTGGCACGAGTGGGGGGTGGCATGATGCAGCTTTGGCTTTCTCTGGGTGGCAGTAGGGCAGAGCTCCCGCTCCCGGTGCTACTGCGCCCTCATCAGCACTGGGAGTGGGGGCTCTGCCCTGCCACCACTTGCCAGCCAGCACAGGGGATGTGGGTCCAGCAGCACTGAGAGCAAGGGCTATGCCCTGCTGCCACTTGCCCCCTTCCACCTGGAGCAAGCCGTGCCCACATCCTGCCCCACCCCCACGCCAACTGAGCAAGCAGCAGCAGCAGGGCAGAGCCCCCACTCCCAGCATTACCATGCCTGCATCCCACCCCCACTTCCCCAAGTAATGTGCCCTCCTCCCTGCCCCCCCCAGCTGGGCAGCTTGCCCCAGCCCCAATCCCTCTGTCCCCCACTCTCCTTTCCTCTCTCCTCCCCAAACAGACTTACCAGCTGGAGGCAGCTGTGTCAGCTGCCTGTTTAGTCTATGGCTAAATCCCCAAAGCGGCCAAATCTTTTCTGAATCAATTCGGATGCTTCAAATCAATTCAGAGCTTTTAATTAGTCTCCCGATTCAATTCAGATTTGGAGATTCAGTCCCCGAATTGGGCTGAATCTCCTCCAAATTCAATCAGCTACCAAAGCTTTGCACAGCCCTATTTCATACTTCTCCAATTGTGGGTCTCAGTCTTACACTTGATGCAGTGCCATTAAGCTATTAAGTGAGCATTTTATGGGAGAAAATGTGTGGATACAGAACCATGTTCTTGTCTAGCAATGGAAAACAAGCATCAAGACTATCCTTCACCTAGCCTATCATCATTATAGCCAAGTCTCTCTATTTTGGGAAAATGATACAGGTTAAATATTTGTAGCATTCCAATTAATATTTGTAAAGCAAACAGGCGCATATTTGGAATATGGGTCACACCAACAGAAAGGGTTTTGGAGTCTTACTGCTTCATGGCCTGTCAAAACTTCCATTATTACCTAGAAAAAGTACAGATTAAAGTTAGACTATTTTTAAAAGATAAAATATTAATCAACCATGAATAAGTAACTGCTTCTATTACCTATTATAATGAGTTCATTTTTTTACCAAATAGTTTTATCTTTATTACGTTTTCTCTGCATTACATAAAAACCGTTGTACAATACTCTATTTAACATGAAACCAAATAAGCCTACAAGTTAAAAGCTAATACATTTTTCTCCCCAGAAATATCTGCTAATGAAGGATTTGTTGCTTATTTGATAGAAATTGATACATGCAATAACTACTGTAAAATTATATATATATATATATATATATATATATATATATATATGTCAAAGACAGTCTACACTGCCTTAGGAACTCCTCTGGCATGTATCTCCAGAATTTCATGATGTTGCTATCTGTACTTATAGTATTGCTTTGACATATCACATAGGATTTCAGATGTGGCATGGCAAAATCAGATACATTTGGTTGAAGATGGCCATCTAAAAGTTTGTGTTGGGACTTAATATATTTATATATTTAATTGAGGCAAATTAAATTCAAATACTCTCATTATCCAAATACATAGGAGCCTTCCTTTTCACCAGGCATGTTTTATTGTGTATTTAGGCCTCGTTTCAGCAAACCAGTTACCTGTAACAAGCTGAATAGTACCACTGACCTCAATGAATAGTAGACTACTTAAGTAATTTTAAAACACTTAAGTTAAACACACACTTAAGTAACATGGACTAGCAGAAGTGTTCTGTATCTATTATTAGATAGTCAGTTATTACGCTGATTTCTTCCATTGTAACTCCCCCTTTCAGTTGCTCATAATTTATAAAACCAAATTCCTGTTGGTCAGAAATTTTTCTACACTTGATCTCAGCCCAAAGGCAGATCCTATACATTATTCCCTTAAAAAAAAATCAGTTCAGCCATATTTGCATTATTTAGGACAGTGATTCTCAACCTTGAGATCCTTTCAAAGGTGCCATGGGGTGCCACAGTGTTAGTCATGTTTGGGTTTATCTTGTGAATCCTGTTTGTCAACCTTATATTTCAAATAGAAATCCATAGCTGTGTTTTTTTCTGAGTTCTTAGCAATAGAAAAATCTATTCTTTTTCTGTAGGCAAAAAAGCATAAAAACTAAGGCTGCTTAGAGATGTCCAAAAAAACCCCAAAATGATCCTTTACTTTAAACTCGGCACACTGAGCATGGCACATGCCCAGAAGAGGCATTGCGTTAGTTTGACCTGGCTTACCCAATGTCTATATAGATTGGGCACTTCAGCAGGGCTTTTTGGCACTTTTATCAAATAGCTGATTGAATCAGCTTTAGATAAAAGCCCCAAAAAGCCCCACTGAAGCATTCAATGTATACAGATGCTGGGGAGCTGGGTTCGAACTAATGTGCTTCCTCTTCTGGTAAAGTGCTGCTTTGGTGGGTAGTGGGGTGGGTTCCACATCTGTCAGTATCCTAAGAGCTGGCATTCTCCAAGAGGTGGCTTGAGTTTACCTAAAAAGGTTAAGAACCACTGATCTAGGGACAGAAAAATGCTATGACCATGACCCCCATGGAATTTTGCACTCACCTAATTAAAAATGCCCGGAGTTGAAAACTGCAGCATTCAACCCCCTAAACACTGATGCCCCACTGATGTCAATGACATCATTCATTCACATCTTGGCTCACTGCTTCACCAGGTATGGAGGCTGTGAGCAGGGACCAGTGCCTTGACACGTAGGTGACTTGTAGCTAACCCTCTGTTGCACCATGGCCTGAAATGGACCTTGTGGGTCACTCTCCTTGGCATACCTGTCAGTACATGGCTCATTTTTTACTTATACCATCCACAGATTTTAGGCACCCTTTTTGCAAAAAAGTATGGCCAAAAGAAACAAAATTGCCAGGATGGTGCCAGCATGTCTGTTGTACAAACCTTTTGCACCAAAATGAGGGGGAGGGGGGTGAACTTTTCCTGACCGGCTGAACAAGAGACCTATAAATTGAAGACCCAGGGGCCCAGTGTGACAAAGGAGTCTACTTCTGGCCGGTCACCAAACTGGCCACCCCTCCATCTAGGGCAGTACACCCTGTCTCACCTGTCATGACTTTTTGGGATCTACCTGATGTGATAAGTGGGAGGCTGCCCTTTCTAATGTCCTGATGCCAAGGGGTTCACACACACCCCCAACCTTTCCTTACTGTGTCCCATACCTTGCAGATGGCATCCAAATTGTAGTAGCTCTGGCCAGAAGCTGGGCTAAACTCTGTCCCTTTCTGGGTCTCTCATAATCTACTGATGCACACCGCCTCCTCTCATAGGGTCTCTTTCACACCACTCTTCACTGGGCCACTCTCAACCTGCCCTGCTCCTTTGAGTGGCTTTATTTGGGCTGTCAGGCTTACCTACTTGCACTCTGGGCAATCCCCCTGCAGCCCTTTGGGTGCCTCATACAGCCTACTCTATCAGTGATGGTCCTTATGCCTAACACTAGGTTGACTTTAGCCTGTGGTATTGCAGCACGTCTGCTCCGGCAGGCAGCCGCGCAAATGAAAACAACACAGGAGAAAGTTAACCAGACACTCCGGGCACTTGGCTCTTACTAACACTGCCCCCTCACTGGGGCTTGGGGTCTTACACCCCCAGGGACTCAGGTGCCTCTCCTTAGGTGTGCCTTGCTCCACTGTCTGTTCTAGAACCACTGGGTAGTGGGGCTGGGGTTATAAGGCACCCCTACCCACCTTTCACTGGGGAGGCAACTGGCTTGGCATTTCTGGGCAGCTACCCCAACACAGGCAGCCCCACCAGACCATCTTTCCCCAGCAGGGTGCAGTTTCAATTCATACCCAGTAGCCTCTCAGTAGCCATCCCCATAGCACCTACCCTTACCTCCAAGATGTTCCTGAGCAGCCAGATGTTATCTTTCTGGCTCAGCCCTGAGGTCCTGAGCAAAAATCGAGTCTGCTCAGCCCTCTCCTCCAATCACATGGCCCTCACAGGGTCATATGACTGCCTCATCAGGTCTGGCCTGCACCTGCCAGCTGCCCTGCTGCCACTTAAAACCTTTAAAGTGACTGGCACCAAAGGTGCCCTGTCACACCCAGGTATGGGTACCCCTTATTAATCCACGATGTCTGAGGCTGAGGAGAGAAGAGAGCCAACAAGGGTGTGTAAAACTAAGACAACTTGGTCCTATGCAGAAACTAAGAGCCTGGTGCGGGTGTTGGGGGACCCTGAGGTGTTAAGCCAGTTCAGCATCAGCAACAGCCTCAGTATGAACATGAAAACCTACTTGAATGTCTCCAAGAGACTTGCCTAGTGGGGGAAGAACAAGATGGCAGTCCAGTGCAGGGTGATATCCAAGAATACGGGAGCTGTTTTCTGACATGAAGTAGCAAGAGTTCATTAGAATAGAACCCCTGTGCACAACATGTCACATTATCAGTACCTCCACCCATTAATGGAAATACTTGAATGCCAAGTAAATAGATGACTACAGGTATCCAGGCCATCCTCCACTCCTGAGAGCTCACTGATCATGGGTCTGAATGTGAGTCCTGCTGCTTCAAGTGAAGAAGACTGGTCCTTGATGAGTCCACCAAAGAGGAGAGACTGGAGACATCATTTTCCACAACTGGTATGTTAAGCCATGGGGAACTGACATCTGAATTGACACCTGAGATTAGGCTGGGCTGCAACA